GAAAGAGGAGTGAGGTTCTTAGAGGATATTCATGCCCAACATCTAAGATTCTACATGATCCAGACTACACCAAACCTCTACCTTGTTGAGATGTGGGCCCAAATCCTGTATCATAGCTGAAGTCTAATCCAAGAACTGTTCTTTATCCAGCTATATTTTAATTTATAGTGCATAAAAGGAACCATGAAAAACATTAATCATCCTTGCACGTAGAGCTAAACCACAGAAAAAAATCTCTCTACAGAACTAGTGCTTCATCTGTCCAAAAAATAGAGGTTGACTTTTTAACCATGATTATTTTTCTTTCTAGTTTTATCTTTCATGTAGGTTGATGCAGTTAAGCTCTTTCCCTTTGTTTTTTCTTTCAGCTACTTCTCTCCTCTTTTTTCCAGTCCATTCTTGTGTACTGGCCTTTTCCACTTTGCTGCTGAGGAAAGATGATTGAGAGGGGGGAAACTGAAAACCCTCTCAAACACCAGATTTCTTTGTCCTGGCCTGAAGTTAAATGAATAAAGATTTTTTTCTTTCCTTATTTATCCTTGCTGGGACCTGGGGAAACCATCCAGTAGGATGAGCTCAGTGCTTTGCAATATTATCTCAGGAGTGGGTACAATAAAAGGTGGGTCCCAGCCAGAACTCCGGATATGAGCACTTCCCATCCCTGTAGGGGAGTTGGGATTTTGACATTGGGGCTTGTTCCTTTCTGTCAGGACTGGAAGCCAAATACCCCTGAACACCATCAGGGCTCAATCCCAAGGGCTCTTGCCTCAGGTCAGATTTCTGGGATGAGCAACCAGGAGTCCAGGGGCAGCAGATCCTGAGAGTCAAGAGGCTTTTAAAGGAATGAAATCACCCCCAGGGCTGGCCCAAAGGCTCCCAGGCAGCCCTTGGCTGTCACTGGGGGTGAGGATGAAACTCAGCAGATTGCCCCAGGGAGCTGCTCCTTGTGTTTCTCCTCAGGTGCCTAAAATCAGGTTCTGCAGAAGGCAAACACAACTCTCTGTGGGCAAACAGCCCACAGCCCCTCTTAAGGGCTAAATCCCAGTCCAGCTTTCAAACCCAACCCAGTTCAGCCCAAAGTCAGTGGAAGAGTCACTCAATTCTTAGCATTTCAGTGACAAGACCAAAAATAAGCCCAAGTAGAAAAAAACCTTAAAGCAAGAGGAAAAGGAGCACTTGCCTCCCAACAGCAGCTGGGATCCCTATGTCTAGTTCTACTAGAATTTGTAATTCTACTCCAGTTGAGCTGTAAATGGGTTTCCCCATTTCTTCCCTGCTGCTCTCCCTCCATCCAAAACATTCTGAATGTGCTTTCCATGATCACTCAAAGGATTATCAGTGAAAGTAATGCAGTGTGAGCAGCAGCAGCGAGCATTTCAAGAGCTAATTCTGGACTTAAATAATCATGTTGAAAAATAAGATGTTAAGATTGTTACTCAGCCAAAAGAGGAATAAAAACATCTTCAGTGTCTTGTGGACTCATGAAAAACTAGCCCAGACAGCAAGAGAATTGCATTTTTACCCAGACTGACTCATAAATTATTAGAATGGGATTAATGAGGGGGAAAAAAATTTAAAAATCACTGGAACTGTTCCCACTGTAAAGTGGGACTGAGTCAGAAACAATTATTTTCATCTGGGAAGTGGGAAATGCCATTATGTAAAACTTACTTTACACTTTGTTAGAAAATGGCCAACTTTGATTTCCTTGGGACTTCGAAACTTATCATTAAAATTCTTGTAAATTTTGTATTCTCATATTTATCAGTTTCAGGGAACAGCAAAGAAACCCCACACACCGTTTCCTACCTCAGGGCAAGAAAGTGATGTTTTTTCCAGTTTCTATGTTTATTTCCCCACCCTGTTATGTAAATCTATTGGAATTCTTCAAATTCGACAAATCCAGTAGGTAACAACTGCAAAAACCCCAGCAAATGTGTTATACATTTTATAAAAAACATTTTGGTTGAAGAAAACACTGCAGTTTCCAAATGCTGTGTTTACAGTACATCTCTGATTGGGTTGGTTTTTTAAGTTAAAAAAGTCCCAGGATGGTTTGGGTTGGAAGGGGCCCTAGACCTCATCCAGTCCCACCCCCTGCCATGAGAAGGAACATCTTCCACAATCCCAAGTTGCTCCAAGCCCTGTCCAGTGTGGCCTGGAAGAGAACAGATTCATTACAATATATTTCACTTTGACTCAGACAAGCTGAAATATCTTTGATGCCTTCCCTGACGGTCAGCTTTTTGTTTCTAGAACCACACAAAATTCAATTTAATCAGCTGTTCAGGCTTACAAATCAACTGAGTAGAAACTCTTGCAGAGTTTTTTTGCAACTTGATGGTGAAACTCATTATTAGACAAATGATTTCCACTCAGTTGCTCTCTTCACTCTCCCTGAGTACTGTGGCATTTGAGACTTGTGGAAACATTTTCTGTGGAGATAGGAGTGCTGATGCCACTATCCAAGAACAATAGAGGCTGATTACAGATTTCATAGACCATGTAATCTAATTCCTGTATAAACAGGCCACAGGCCTTTTAAAATTAAATGTTATTTCTAGTCCAATAGATACGGTTGAACTACAGCACAATTCTGGAAAGAAGAGGGAAAAAAAGACATCCACAGATAAAGAATGTGCAACAACTCAGACATTGCATCATAGCTCCAGCAAAATCCTGCCTCACCACCTTTGCCTCTCATTGGGGCTGTCACAAGCATGTCTGGGCTCTGTGAAAGAAAAATGTTCAAAGACAACTAAATTTTGATGCATTTAATGGCAGAGGAAACACTTTGCAGTTCACAGCCTGTGTTTGCAACAGAACAGGCAAGAGGGAAATGTTTCATCCCATTTCTAGTTCACTGTGACACAGAAAAAAAGGAGCTAAAAGGTAACAAACCCCAGGTGTTTTCTAAGCTCCTTGCAAATGAGTGTTGCCCAGTTCTGGTAAATTTGGCTTAGATTTAGGTGCAAACCTGTCGATGCACTTACACCAGTGGCTGCCTTTTCCAAGCTGATTATTGTGCACTGGACACACAGGGAGTGGAGCATGTCCCTCCCTGGCTTGGCTAAAGCTGGAGTTTCACCACATGAAAGTGTAATCTCTGTCTCACACACTGTAAACACACACAGTGAGCAGCACAAAGAGGATTACCTGGAAAGTATTTCTCTATTAAGCCATTTCAAAAGTCAGTCCCCAGGCAGGATTATACAGATTCATTTCTTCAAGGAAAGAAGAAACCCACATTTTTTAATATAAACTGTTCTAGGACAGGATGTCCCACAAACACCACTGTGCTTATATGACTTATTTATTTTTACCTTTCTGAAAGCTGTTTGCAAGTTTTAAAGCACATCTTCAGTGCTGGCTGGATGGAGAACAAACAACAGCAAGGGTTGGATGCATGGCAGCCGTGGAAAAGCCTTGCCAAGCTGAGACACTCAACCATGGATATGAACTGCACAAATCCTTTACCAAATACCTATTTTATCTTACCTGATTACCCAGAGCTAATGCAGAGCTGGAATCAGACACTACCAAACACCACTGAGCAAGAAACTGGGTGAAAAAGAATCCCTTTCTCCCCACTCAACACTGCTTGGATAAACTGTTTGAGAACTGTGTGTGAATCCTTGCCATCCCAAAAAAGGGATATTCAGAAATCATCTTCACAGAGCCACAAAGAGCCACTAAATATGTGTCCAAAACTGGAGGAGGTGACAGAAAATAGTGCCCTTGTTCTGACACATTCACCCAGTGACAAGGTGGCATTTACAACACCCTCACCTCCCTCAGCAAGTGCTACAAATAGTTTACACAGAGCACGTTGTAGAGTGATGTTAAGGAAAATCTGATGATTTCTATTTCCTCCAGATTTTGTTGGAATAGAAAAACCTATTCCAGAAAAGCCTCTGCCTGATACTCTGAAATAAGAATCTCTGGAAGAGAAACAACAGCAACAACGGTTTAATTTATGTATTTTATTTTTAATTAAAAAATAAAGGTTATCTTAATACATCTTTTGCAGCCTTTGGGCAAAATGCACTCTTAACAAGACTCTATGAAACATGATGCACATCTTTTCCTGGCACATATCTTAAACAAATGCCAGCTTCCTGCAGCAACTTTGGAAATCCACCATTTTCCCCAAACCCTGAAAACATTTAACAGTTCATTTAAAAAATCCCTCTAAAAATTAAAAGTGGGCCGAAAGCAAAAGTCCCAGATCCAAGCACCCAAAAGCTTTTGGAGGAGACTTATATCGAAATGCTCATTTCATTCCAAGTTTTATCCCACATCACTGCAAATTCACAGACACAGCACCCAAACCACCCAAGGAGAGGCAATTGGAGCTGACCCAGGTATGGATCTCCCTTTGGAAGCTTTGATCTTAACTGGGCCAAAGCAAACCTGGGGGTCTGAACCGTTTCCTAAAATTGTTTAAGTCAGGCCCATCCCTAACAGAATTAAGTGCTGGTTACACAAGGAAATGGTGCTGTCAGAGCTCCCATTCCTTGCCTATCCCTGATCTGAGCCCAGGCCAAGCTCTTTGTCCATTGGCACCACACAAGGCAAGGATAAAGCCAAGGGAATGCACTGACCCTACAACACGGCCACACACCTGCCTCCCACTGCCTGGGAGAGCCCCAGGCTTCTCAAGGAGTTGTCTTGGTGTGGTTTTCCCTGGAAATGTCCTGGCTCAGCCCTCCCTGCAGGAAAGCTCAGGCCCCTGCCAGAGGAGGAACAGGCTGGCACCATTCCCACGGGATGTCTTCGTTCCACCTGGCCCGTGATGGCTGATTCCCAAAGGCACAACGTGACCAATCTTCAGACTTATGCACAAGGTCTACATACATATATATATATATATATATATATTTATATATATATGTACACTCACACCACTACATACATATTTAAATATATATATACATATATATATTTGGTTTTGATTTTTCTCTTTGATCTTTTTTTTATTCTCTTCTTTTCCCCTCCTTTCTCTCCCTTTTAACTTAAGGGTGTAGTCTCCTCTGAGGAAGGCTCTGGTATATGTTCTGGAGACTTCTCTGTCTCCAACAGGACTTCTGGGTTTTCCTCTGTTAGTTTTGGCTCCTCAGAGGCTTGAGATCCCTCCTGCAGCTGACTCTGAGCCTGGCTGTTCATTTTCTCCTCTGCTTCAATCTCCTCCGAGGTGGGAATGGAGTTTTTCTTTGGACGGCCTTTGGGCTTCGTTGGAGCTTCCTGTCCACCCTTCAACACCTGGAGCAAAAAGATGAACTGTCAGGATTCTGAACTCTGCTGGTCTCAGACATCCTGTTCCTATGTCTAAGTCCCTCTCTCTACACACCATTCCTGCAGCAACAAGACACTCCAGCCAAGGATCTATATCCAAGGTAATGCCAAATTTGTTAGAAGTGACAGTAACTTCTGCAGGTGCCACATGCATCCAATGGAACAGCCTAGACTGCATCTCGTCTCCCAAATCAGAAAACATAGACATCTCCACTAGAGAATGTCACAGCATCATGCTCCCACCAGCATTTATTGAGTGGCTGACCTTCATAAAAAAGCATTTTAACTGGAAAAGGACCATGAAGATGAGAAAAACTGAAAGGTGAAACAAAGATATGAGAAGTAAAAATTAGTATCAGCTCTCAAAACTGCTCTGTTTCCATAGAGCAACAGAGTCTTTTTTTTCTATGCACAAAACCAATCTCAGAAGCACTGAGATCACAGGAATGCAGAAAAATGCAGAAGGAGATATTTTGGTTTTTCCCTCACTTCTATTCTCATTTCTTTCACTTCTTTGCTTTGTCCTCCTCCTACTGCCTTTAGCCCCCTCTAGCCCACCACATGTACTTGCAGTATGAACACTTTAAAAAAAGAGACCATCTCTGTGAGAAATGATCAGGAATAAAACAAAATTTGGTATAAATAGACACAAGTCACTCTACTATGTTCAGCTTCCAAATCTGTTATTTGCAAGGAGCCATTTAAGAGCCATGGAGAAATGACAAGCACCCACTCACCATTTTCTTCCACTTCATCCTACGGTTCTGGTACCACGTCTTCACCTGGAGCTGAGTCAGCCCCAAAGATTGGGCTAAGTCGAGCCTGGGAGACAAACCAGACAACAAAATGAGTTTACTTAAGCCAAGAGGAGCTCAGGTGCCAGGTCTAGGCAGTGCAACACTGTTAGAGCATTCAGCAGTTTCTGATCAGTTGTCTCAAGAATGGTCACACAGAAGTGGTAAAACCCGTGAATTTAGGATGCAAAGATGGATGCTGCTATGGAAGATGCAGGTGTTGGCAAGCTCTCTTTTCTAGACATGGCAGGGTTTGTCTGCCCTCTTTGAGACATGAACCTGTTGCACTCCAGCTGCTGATGCTCTATGTTTGTCCATGAATTAGGAGCTACTGGTACATCACATCCCTGAAAAACAGGTCCCTGGTGTCTGAAGCAAACTGGTGGGAACAGACACACAGCATCAGCTACTCTTTGTATCATATTTCTCCTTCACTACCTTCAGAATGGGGATCATGGTACTTGCCCATTTCTCATGGAATAGTAGTACATCTAAATCTATCAATTTAATATACATTCTGTTATTGAGGCAATTTAAGCTTCTAAGTGAATTTATTTTTTGTATGTTTAGCTGCAGGGTATATGTGGCAGACAGCCCATAATCCTGATTCATCCTTCACAAATCTCCAACCCATGCAAGTTCATGTGAACCCATTCATTATTTCTATATTAAAGCCCAGGATATGAAGCAAATGTGGCTCAGAGTAGCTCCTGATCCTTCCCCACAGGTGATAGCACCATGCATGTGGTGGTTTTGTAATGGAGCTGCACAAGGGATGGAGCTGGAAATCCTCAGCCACACCAGGAAAGTGCACCTCAGAGTCATGCAAGTCCTGCAGGTGGGACAGATCCAACTCAGAGCCACATTCCACAGTATTCTGCATTCTGTGACTTTTTGGCAAATATCTCCTTGCCTTTGGATGGGCAAACACATTTGTGAAGGCCAAGTTTTTCATAATGAAAGCTTTGTTACACCTGGGCTCCTTGGGCAACCAGATTTACATTTGTAAACACCCACATACCCCACCCTAGCTCTCTGTGCTCCACCTCACACTTAAGGATTCATGCTTCTCTCCCACTCCGGATTCACTCTGGACCTGCAGGCTTGTTCTGCCACTACATCACATCTGAAGCCATTGATCTAAGACACCAGTACTGTTAAGAGTAGAACATGTCAGAGTCATTACCCTGATGATAAACCAGGGGTTTCAGGTGCCCTCCCAGGGCTACAATCTTCTATCCAGGACAAAAGCTGCAGAAGTGAACACAGGTCACAATTCACTGCTTTGCCAGGTTTTCAGCCATGTTGTTGACAGAGAGAAGCTTGGCTTAGCCAACCCTTTGTGCCTTAGTGCTCATGTCTGGTAACACCTGGTTTACTTGCAACCAGCTTCCATCTCTTGCCACATACCTCAGTGCAACCAGCACTGCCTGGAAACCCAAGGAAACAAACACAGAGGAAGTGGTACATGGGCAGGAATTGCTCATCGTCCTCAATGAAGCCAAGGAACAGTCATATGAGATTATTAATTACCAGCCTTGAGTGCCTCAGCAAAGTGTCAACCATCTGGTGATGTGAAGCTGTGAGGAGTCATTGCAGGCATAGCAGGAACTCTGAAACTCCATGAGGCAGGTTGGCTACGACCAGGAATTTTCAGCTGCAGGAATTTGGTCACAGGCAGTAGGAGCAGAAAATGCCATCTTCAGAATCAATTTAAATATTGGGACACTCCCCTCTGTGGAGTGCAGGGCCTGATACCTTTCAAACCTTCTCCAGGTTTACAAACTTCCTAGGAATTTGATGGGTCATTTTTCCATAATTTAGATTTCCAGAGTAGGATTCAAAGCCCTTAAAAAAGCTAAAATCTCTCTTAGTTTGGTTTGCCCATGTGGTACCAAGCAGTGCCTAAGAACTTGCCTGTGCCTTTGCAAGGCACCTTTCAACTCCAGGCTCTGCTTTCCAACCTTATGAACAGGACATCACCTTCCCACTGAATTGCTGCCCAAGGTGCTGGATAAAAGCCAGCTCAGGAGCAGCTGAAGATACCATGAACACACAGCCATGAGCCAGCAGATCCCAGGGGGAGACAGGCTCCATCGTTTTTCAAGTGTGCAGCAGGAGTTGGAAAGGCAGAGATCCTTCTTCTCTGAGGAGATCTCTGAGCCTGGAGAACTGCTCCCAACCATGTGTATCATCTGACATTTCCACTGATATGATCTATTTGTGTCACCTTTGATCCCAGGAAAAGTAGCCTTGGATTTGAATCAGGTTACCTGCCATGGCCGCAGCCAATGGCAGAGGCAACTTGGTGGAGCAAGAGGCAGCACCCCCAGCCAGGGAATGTTCACTGTGGAGCAACTGAGCAGGGCTGGAGCATCCCTTTTGCTCATCCCTACTCCTGGTGTGAGCAACCAACCTACCTGTCGGGGGTGGAGAGGTACTTCTGCTTCTGGAATTTCTTCTCCAGGCCCATGAGCTGGATCTCGGTGAAGATGGTCCGACTTCGGCGCGGCTTCTTTGAGCGGGGTGGGGGCTGCTCTGCCTCCGACTCACTGCTGCCCTGGGCCTCGCTGGGGGAAACCTCCGTGCCCACGGCGGCCCCGCAGGGCTGGGCTGGCAGCAGGCGGGAGCTGCCGGCGGCCGGGAGCAGCGCGGGCAGCGCGGGCGGCTGCCGGGTGATGACGGAGAGGAGGGGGTAGGCCCGGAGAGAAGGGGAGCCTGGCAGGGAGGAAGCACAGGCAGATGAAGGACAGATCAGTGCTGATGTGTTTGAGCAATGCAAGTGCAGGGGAGAGGAGGGAGACAGGAAGGGCTTTCCTGGCTCTGCCATTTACTTATTAAAGGACAAGCAAGAATATTCACCTCTTTGGACCTGTTCCTTCTCCCAAATTGCACAGCTTTTCTTGGGCTGGGGAACCCTAACCCTAACCCTAATTCTAATCCTAACCCTAGGACAGGGAAAGGAAGGACTGCCTTTCCACTCCTTTTTTAGGAGATATTATAACCATTGAAATCATCTGTCTGATTACTGCAAGAGACTGAACTCCAAGCAAAGGATGAAATATATCCCCAATCTGTTCCCAACTTTGTTTCCCTGGGGAAACTAGGACAGGGTTCACTTGAGATAGTCCCCCTGCTCTTGCAGGTAAATACACAACAGAGTCTGGTTCACAGCTCATTCCATCCCCTAATGGGCAACTGCATCAGAACCACCCTTGCCCTCCATTGCCCACACTGATCCTGCTGACCATGCAGGAAGATGAGGATGAATAGACCCCAAGAGTTCTTCACTGACTGAACGCTGCATCTTACACCACCCCGTTGATACCAGCCCTAAAAACAAACCAGTTCTGCTCCAATCTTTTCAGATCAGGGCTGTTCTGGGATGACAAATCCAAACATTCCCAAACACTAGAGGAAGTTCTGATCCACATCAGGCCTTCTGATTTACAACTATAGCAAATTCCTGCTCAGCCTTAGCCCCAGGAAATTGAATGTTCCTTTAAAGTTTGGGCAGGGAAATTGAGCTACATACGGGAAACGTAAACTCAGTGTCAGATATACAACCTGCAGAGTCTTGGGCAACTCATTTTCTTGCTCTGTACCTCATTTTACCTCATTTGCAAGATGGAAACAATCCTCCTTACCTACATCACTGATGGTAAAATATGGATTAAAATTTAATGTACACAAAGTATTTGGAGATCTTTAGATAAATGGGACTGTGGAAAGGAACATATTACAGGCTGATTGTGAAACCCTTCACATGAATCACCACTAATGAAAATAATGATCTCAAGACCTCAATGAGTGTGTTGGGGTGAGTAACTCCACACCGTGGAAGAAAGGAGTTCCCAGCCTGGCCTGCTGATGACCTGTATTCCTCAGCCCTCTCCCCAGCTGTAGGCTTGTGATCACAGGAACCAGGTCCTAGGTGAGCTGGGTACATCAAAGAACATCATAGACTGTTGATCGTTGCTTCTCTCCTCAACCACAGCAAGTTGTGCAAAACTTAGCCACTTAAAAAGCAAGCTGGGGAAACTATTGTCAAAACTCTAAATAGCTGTGACTACAGACTGGGGTTTAGGCAGACTAGGACTTCAGTCTTGCTTTCTCCTCCACACCTCCGCAACACTAAAAATCAAAGTATTTCCATTAAATGTAAAGCTTTCCACTTAAACCACCAAGGAAGCATTTGAGAGATGAGATCAGGTTTGCCAAGCCAATCTTTAGCTTGTGTCAAGCCTTATCTACCTTTTTTTTCTGGGTATTTTTTCTAGCTGAAGACTGTGCTGATCTACAGCACCACTGAGTAACCTGGTGGAAATTTTGCCTTGATTTACAACTTCAGTGGCTGTTCAAAGATCATAAATTAGGACAGAGTGTGCTGTCCTTTGCTTTACACCTCTGTCCTTTGCTTTACTCACAAAATCTATGCTGGTATTTATGCCCCCTCTGACACCACTCAGCTAGACAGAAGACAAAGGAGATGCTGCTCCCATAGCCTATGTCCTTCTTGTCAACCCACCACTGTTCATTTCTGACACTGTGGGACAACAAAAAACTTGCTGGCCCACCCATAGAACAGATGATTTCTTCTCTTTCAGCCAAATTTGCCCAAAAATCATCCCCTCTTGCCTCCTTGAAGGGTTTCTCAATTTCTAAAGTCCTATGAAGGAACATTGAGGCCACCTCCACCATAAGAGGTGTTCCTGGGTGTGCCATAGGATTCATGAGGACATTGTGTGTTGATGTCTTCATTTGCAGCAGTCCTGGGACTCAGCCCCAGGACACAACTGCACTTGGTCACTCAGGCTCCAACAGACTTCTTGGATCCCAGTTCTACCCTGTTCTGGATAAGGAGACTTAAGCTTAAGCTTACTCCAGAAAGGAGTGGGTCCAGTCTTATTACATCCCCCTATCCACTGCTCTGGAGTCCTGGTTCAATCCTGCCCATCACAGAGGTCCTGCTCCTCCGTAGGTTCATGCTCCAAACCTTATCCCACAGCCCATTCCTGTTCTCACTCATGGGTAACTTTTGGCACCAGATCACCGATTAATCAATACTTTTGTACTTCCATACATTTCCAGCAGGGCTCTCCATAAAGCACAAAATTACTCATTAATAATAAATCATCTGAGCTCAGAAACCCCTGCAAGGCTCCAAGTGACTGACACCTCTGGATGAAAGGATTTTTACAAGAAACTCTCTTCAAAAGAGGTCAGCAAAGTCATTTGATATCAGAGCAGCCAGGGATATTTTCTTTTCTGTATGGCATGGTAGCAGCATGTGGAGTGCTTGAAGGGAGGGGAGGGCGGTTACAATCATCCCAGAACATAAGATCTGCCTTCATCAAACAGAGAAAAGTCTCTTCAGGTTATTTTTCTAATAGTCAGGTAAGATTTGGATTACAAGAACTGCTTTTCAAGATGACCAGCAAGGCCTTGGCTATTTTTGCAGGGTAAAAGGTGGTTATTAGAGAAGCAGATGACACCGGAGTTGTTTGGGTCTGGGTTTTCAAGTGCTGAGCACCTGAATGAGGAGATACATTTTCCAAAATTCTCAGCAGCCAGCAGCTGTGCCCTGGTCAAACACTTAGAAAAGCTCAGCACATGCTTATTTTTGGAGCCCACGTCAGGTCACAAATGTATTTACGGCCCTTCTGACACCACAGTGCTGCTTCTGCGCAAGTCGTGGTTTACAGCTGCCTGGCTGATTTGAGTTCCAGGTGCTGAACAGATTTGTGAGGCTGTTGACACTAAGTGTTGTGTATTTGTTTATCATTTGTGCTTGCAAGAGTAACCTTTGCTTATGGTTTGACACCAACAGTTGTGACAGGGCTTTTAGAAACCACTGTAAATAATGAAAGCATCATGATCAGCCCAGCTTTCACAAGACTGCTCAGTTTTTTGCCCTCAGCCTGGTGAGGACACAGGATGGATGTGGCACAGAGTAAGAAATAAAGATGGCATCTAGAAAAGACATGAGTGTCAAGGCTGCAGATATTTTTTGGGAGAAAGCTACAGGTCAGAAAGGGGGCAATGCTTTAGCAGCCTCTTGCACGTAGAGCAAACCAGAAATAACTGACCTCTACATTGCACGAGGAAGCTTTCAGTTCCCAGAGAATGAAGCCCAAGTTCAGTGTCCTGCTCTGGATCTAGTTATCCCAAAGTTCAAAGCAGCTGAAGGTGAGCCAGTCCATAGTCTCTAGGTACACTGTTAACATGACTCCCCTTAAACCATCTGTACAGTTCTCACCCTGATAAAGCCTTGCCTTCCAAACGCCACGAAATCTGAGGCGAGATCTAAACTCCTCATCCCCCGGAGTTCAAAGGTACTTCTAGACTGACATGGTATTGTAAGAATGGAATAATTTCCTAATCTTCAACAAATTAAATGCTGGCAGGCAGCTCTTGTCTGCTCAGCACTGTTGTGACACGCTCTGTCTCCCAAACTGGGATGAATGGGAGTGAAGAGCTCTTTCTTTCCATACCTGCCTTTCACAATGGTTCCACTGAACACGTTCTCACCTGCACTGTTGCGTGAGCACTTTTTCTGACCCACTGCTCTTTCGTACATGAAAATGCAAAAGATGCCCATATAAACCAGAAAATGAGGAATTTGCTACTCTAGAAAAACACCTAAAGCATTTTAATATTTCCATCTAAAACTGTCAAGAGGCCCCACACTCCAGTGGTGAAACCACCAGTGGTTTAGGACTCAGGAGGTCTCAGTGCTCTTCACAGGGACAATGGTCTCTGACTATGTGGTTTTCTATAGAAAAGTCCCAGTTTTATCTACTAGAATAATCTTAATCACCCCAAAGCAGGTATTCTTGGGCTCACTCTGCTGCTGAATACTTCTCAAATATTTGGGAAAAATAAGTATAATCCCATACTTCATACTATGCACTACTGAAGGAGCACTGCCTAAGCAACAGATTTTTTTCCTGTAGTTCTTTTTTAAGGATTTGAATAATCTCAGTTTCGAGCAGTAAGAACGCTCTTATTTCTGTCCACCTCACAAAGCAAACATCTGGCCACTCTTGCTAAAACTAACCAAGGGCTAAAAATAAAAAAGACATTGGATCTGCAGAGCATTTTCTACGATCTGACAACATTTTGCTTCGCTATTTAAATCTGCATTGGCAGCCACTGTACAGTGAATAACAGATCTGTAGTAAGCACTGCCCACATCACCTTGGCATAAACTGGCATACTCAAGCCACACACAGGATAACCCTGGACTCCTGTTTCCTAATTATATGTCAGATATTTCTGAAAAAAAACTATCATGGTTTGATGTATCCAAAATTTTTTTTGTCATTTGTTTTTCTTTGCAGCAGCAACAAGAAGAAGATGTTACATCAAGAAAACCAATCTGAAACCATCTCCTCTCACCTTCTGGAACGTTTCTAATAAACTTATTTTAAACTTCTGACCTCTGCCTAAGACACAGTGGATACACCACCACTGGACAGATCACCTTGCAGAAGTTGTAATTAAAAATAAATACTTGAAACAAGTATTTTCCCCTTATTTACCCCCACCTCCCCTTGTCCCTGGCTTAATTTCAACCCCAACAGACATGGAATAGAAGGAAGAGAGAACAGAAAGCACTAATTAGTTGCACGGTTTGACTGCCGGCGATGGAAGAACAGTTTTCCTCCCAGGCAAACTTAGTTTCCAAATGTTGTTTTGGAAAGCAAGAAAGAAAA